AAATATTTCTTATTTGTCATCAATGACATGACTAATACTTACCAAAAGACTCCAATGTTCGGTGACAGATCTTCGATACTGAGAATGAAACCATAGGTCCTATAATAGGAGGCACAGACACAAATATCAAAACGTCAAAGCCTATATGATATGAGTTGGAATCTAACTTATAGAGAAATTTCAGTTTTTCTCTTATATATAGCTATCAGAAACTTAACCCATGTTTATATAGATATCGGTTTTTTCAGAGCAAAGGGTTACCTCGTGAACATCTCCTCAAGCCCACCATATTTACTCAGTGATAAGCCACATAAAACCAACAAATACAGCGACCACAGAAGTACCCAGAACACGAAGTGCACAACTGTTTTCCATAAAAAGGGAAGGCGTGTATTCGGTTTCAACTTGGCTTGTTTAGAAACAGCAGAGGTTGATGTGTCCTCCTTTTCTACACTTCTGATCTGAAGGAACAGCTTTAGAGGAGGAGCATCCAAACCATATCCCAATATAAAGATTATCTGTGGGAAACATACAAGAGCAATTAGAATATGTTTCCTCCAAGAAACGCAAAACATATAAAACATGAAACGATACATACTGGAATTGTCAGAGTTGCAGGATAAAGAGATAACTGTGTGGCCATGACTAAGCCAAATGCAGCCAGAGGAACTCTTCCTGCATGAATAGAATACATCATTTTTTTCATCTAGATTGATTATAAAAAACGAAATTTGTAGAATGTCAATTGAAAATATCAATATGCAAGTATCATCATCTTCTTACGAGTAACTGCTCCATAAAGCGACAATATGACAGCAAGATTTTCGATTGGAGAAGTTGATAAGCCTACACAAGATACGATTGTGAAAGGATTCCACAGGTACACAAGAGCAGCAATATCACCGCAAGGTAGGATCCCTGAGGAAAAAAAGAAGAGAAGAGATCAGTCTTCGCCTTGCAAGTAAATAGTTTGCAAAAAAAGAAGAAGAGAATGACTCTCTGCTCCAATCTCAATGAGCAAAGACTAAGACTGTAGATAATATATATGTGTTACATCAAAAGAGTATAAATAAGATATATGATACTTTGAACTAAACGAATGACTTGAACTTACCTTTATCTCTTGATGACTTAAGAACGCCAAGTAGCCTCGCATTCAATCCATAAGCCATCTGGAGTTTCTGACCAATACCTCGAAGAAGCATCGCACTTAATACATCTGCAATAACAAAAACCAAGCTGTTTACAAGAGAGTGTTAGTATCGACAACATGACTATATAGTTTCTATATGGCGATTGGCGAGTATACATCAAAAAATGATCTCTTTTAGATAGTCATACTCGCAATCTAATCCAACCTAAGATCGTATACTAGATCACAGAAATGAAGAGAGAGATCGAATTTTGGAGATTAGAAATGAAGAGAAGTACCTGCACAAGAGGAAACTGTGCCCTTTAATCCTGCAACATCCAAAATGTCTTACAATTAGCTCATGTTTTCATATGTTTGAAGCTCAACAGATCAAAGAACCCTAATATCCATTACCTTTGAACTGTGAGAGGTCCAAGAACCGAGAGCAGCAACGGCGAGCCATGATACATAGATCCTGCACAAACACAAGTACAATTTCAGCATCCAACAGCCAAAAATTCAAAACTACAGAGGCTCAAATCTCAAAGGAGTAAGAAGGTAAACCTGCATATGGTGACATCGATGCCTGCTTCAACCAGTAACCTTCAGCAACTGAAAAGTTCACACACAATCGAAGAAATGTAAGCAGAATTCGAGATCGTAGAGTGAGAAAGTGCGTGAGAGAGAGGCGGTTACGGCGGCGAATGCTTGTGAGAGGTGTGGAGACCTCCGGACGGGAAGAGAGATTGAGATTTCCGGGGAAGGAGATCAAGATCAATCGGAAAACTACGGAAGCTAAAGCCCAAATCCAGAACCGGCATGGCTTCTTCTTCTGCTCCTCCGCCATTTCTCCGCCGTCTTTCGTCATCTCTTCTCTTTATTTCTCCAATTTCTCCGGCGAGTGAAGAGAGACGACGACCCAGACGAAAATCCAACGACGACGTTTTATATTGGGCTCAATCTAAAAGCCCATTAATTTTGAAAGCTTTTCACTCCTTTTAACGCAAATTACTAAACTGCCCCATATCTGACCTACATTTCTATAAGTACCCCCGTATTATATAATTATTTATTAGGAATCTCTCTCTCTCGGTCTCTAAGTTTGAGGAAGGAGAGAATCTCTAACACGCGGGAAAATTCTCAGTGGTTCATCAATGGCGAATCTTGATGTACAGAAAATCGTTACCTTCGTGAGAATCACCCGCACTGAACAAGCTTACGCCGTTCATAAACTCAAGGTTTTTACTTCCTTCTGCTTTCTTTTTTCGGTTGATTGCTCTTGAATCATCGATTGTTTGAAACTCGTAATCGATCAACGAATGGTGCTTTGGTTGATCTAAGAATCAAAAGATAGAAACTTTAATCTTTCTGGATTGATTTGGGGGAATCAGACTATGTTCCTTTGACTTGGGGTTTTTCAATCGTTGAAATTGAGTTTTTAGGGATTTTACGAATTGGGGTTTCGTGGTTTCTTGTTGTATCTGAGTCCAAGATTTCTCATTTCTGTGTCTCTTTTTGCAATCAGCAACGTGAAGGAGATCTCAATGCACCTCTTGATGCGCATTACCGTTTTGCAGCTACAAACATGTAATCTTTCTTGTTCTTTCTAGTTTTCTTGCTACTCTTTATGGTTGAAACTCTTTTGCTTATTTGTTTCATATGGCTAGTGCGAACAGATATGTTCCAGATTCTGAAGACAGTATGATTGATATAGATGATTCTGAAGAAGAAAGTGAGGTATTGTGTTGTTGAAGTCAAGGCTTAAATGTGTCTAATGTGGATTTTACTGCATAATATCTAAGAAAGAGTGTTTTTTGTGTAATGGGATTTTCGATATAGGAAGCAGAAGATGCTCTGTATGAATATGGACAGTCTCACCTACAAGATCCCTTCCTTGCTCATGCTATTTCTATGTCCTTGGAGGTTTGTTCGTCTTTTCTGTAGTATTGCACGTTGTGTTTACTTTGGTTCTTATCTAACTCGAAAGACACCAGACAGTAGAGATAGAGAAACAGTTGCGTGAGGTAGCTAATACGATTCGGGAATCATTATCTGGAGTTACTGAGGCACACAATGTGGACCATTTACGGCAGATGCAATCATCAAGTAGAAGGTATGTCAATATCTCTTTTTTCCATGTCTGTGCAAGTTACGATCTGTCTATGCAAAGCTTTTACTGTGTGTTCTGTTGCATATCAACCTAGTTTGGACGAAGAGAACGAGTCTAGAGGTGTTCCTGCGTCAAGTCTGGTCACTGCTTCTGCTTTAGATGAGGCATTCACAAATTCTCTCGACTTAATTTCTGTTTGCCTGATTGAACAGGATTACTATATGTTATTACATCCTCTCAGTTTAATGACAGCTAATAATTTGCTTACCTTATATGCTTATTACAGTGGCTTACTTTATATGAGGCAGCAATGTTTGCTGAAGTTCCTGACAGTAGATACCGATCGGGATCCCTGGCTCCTCGCACGCCATCACCTTCAGCAGAAATTCAGCGCTTGATACGGGACAAGCAGGTCCTTTATTTTGTAAAAAAGAAAACAAACATCAAAAGAAGAGGCCAGAGTTTCTAAACTTATACCAGCAATGTGCAGGATGATGAGTATTATGAGTCATTGCAAGCAGACAGAGAGAAAGCGATAAGAGAAGCCGAGGCTTGCTAATTGGAGATTCAAGCAGCTAGAAACGCTGAACACAGGAAAATGAAGGAAGAACAGGTAAAAGAAATCGTTAAGAACGACATAAACTTGGATTTCTCATGTTCAATTTAACCGTTGGAGGATGGAAACTCAAGTGCTTCTGTTTCTCTGTTTGTGTGGTCCATAAAAGGAACTTGAGAAGCAATTGGCAGAAAAAGAAGCTTCATTGCCTCTAGAACCAGCCATAGATGAGGGAAATGCTGTCACCATTCTCATACGTATGCCAAGTGGAAACCGCCTTACTCGCTGCTTCATGAAATCCCACAATCTTCAGGTACTTTCTGATAGCGATTCTTCTGACTTTCTCCGATTAACCCGGTTCTTTAAGTTAAACCCCGGTTTAATGTCCCTTTTTTTTTAACTGCAGACGCTTTTCGACTTCATTGACATTAGTAGATTGGTCAAGCCTAATACTTACAGATTGGTACCTTCATTGAACCATAAAACTCTGTTTTTTTTTTAACTCACAGATTTGTTGAAAACTCCATTGTTAATTAAGGTTCCTATGCTTATTAACAGGTGAAGCCATTCCCAAGAGAGACTTTTGGTGCACAACAAAGTTGCTTGACATTACAGGAACTTGGACTCACAAACAAACAAGAGGCTTTGTTCTTGGAGATGATCTAGTTTCTTTCTAACACAGGTTAAAACATAGAAATAGCAATCTCCTTTTAGTATTGTGTTGTCACTGTAAAAAATCTAGTCTTTTTTGTTGTTGTATATACATTACAGACAGTGTTAGCATCAAAGCTTAAAATAGACCAGAAACACTACGTTATTGTAAAAGCAATTTAACAAAGTTTCTTAGTTTTAACAAATTTAACACATTTAAAATAAAATAAAACAAATACTTATTTACCAAAAAAGACAAAATTACAAATATATCTTTATATCTTTTAAATCGATTATCAAAAATAAATTTTTAATTTGTAAGAAAATGATAAAACGTTTTTTTATGAAAAGGGGAAAAGTATAATGATTTTTTTTCTGTAACTGCGAATGTGTCATGTTGACAAAAAGTTAGTAGTATAAAATAATAAAAATAATGTCTTTTTGGTGTGTATATAAAAATCATTTTTTGCTTTCCCAATCAGACTTCATTGATGTCCGTACACAACCCAACACTCTTCTTCCTCTCTCTCTCCCAACGGTCATATTTCTCCGACAAATTGCAAACGGTCACTAAACTTCGAACCCATTTTTCGCCGTTAGATTCTCAAAATCCAACGGTTATTAAAACATCAAGATCCCTCGTGTACCACTCACTCTGCCCAACCCTAATTAAAAAAATAACAATTTACTGTAAAAAGAAAAGTTTCCAACTTCAATTCTCGAAAGACCCCAACAAGCAAACAAACTCCAAAAAATAACTTGTATGGTATTTGTAGTTTAAGAACCTGTATAGTACCACTTGAGTGGT